GGATAGAAGATGCCTCATAAAATGTATTCAGCCTAAGGGTAACCCTCTGGTCAATAACATAAAGAACGCCGGTTGGATGTGGGTATTTATGCCCCTATTGCTTTGATAACCATACAAACCGCATGCAAAGAAGTCAGGACAAAACTGTGATGAAACAAATCCACTCTCATTCAGAAACACTGATGATTACACCTTAAAGGAAAACTTAATGCATAGCCTTTTATGTGTAATTAAAACACAAACTCAAACTTCAATTGCATATTAACAATCACTCACCTACAGCCAATTCATCCTCATTCAGCTTCCCCAATCAATACCTGGAAAAACCCCGACACGATGCTACACACACTCCCACACACTCCGTGCTCACCTCTCTGGTCTGTCCTGCCACGGCACGAGGCAAAGACAAGAGGATCTCTCGCGTTGGAAGAGCCATCCACATACTCTCGCTGCCTTACCCGTCCTTCGGCCACAGCGAAGAGGAACAGCGAGAGGGAGGGAGAGCACGGTGGGAGAGAGGGAGGGATAGAGGGTGGAGATAAGGAGGGATATGAAAGAAAGTGAGGGAGAGCAAGGCAAGAGGGAGAGAGGAGAGAGGGAGAGAGGAGAGAGGGAGAGAGGAGAGAGGGAGAGAGAGAGAGAGAGAGAGAGATTAAGCCTCCCCAGATGAGATCTGTGGTGCAGAATTTGAATTGTGTCCCAGGAGTTTAAGGCAGTATGTACAGAGTGCGAGCCATGCATGCAAGCATTACAATATTCACTGTACCGTGGGCGTTTATCTATAATATATTAGCACTGCTAATGTCTGTGTGTGCGTGTTTTTCTGTGTGTTTGTGTGATGGCAGGGACAGTGGTGCACTCATATTGAGGTGTGTGGGTGTGTCTCAATTTATGCAACAACATCTGAGGGTTTTTGAAAACACAGATTCTTTAGGACTGGAGATAATTCAGAGAGATGAGATGTTGGCGAAGACTGAAATGTACTGACACTTATACTCAAGGTTATTTGGTGTTTGAACCTCACATGTGGATAGACTCTGGAACACTGTTCAATAAACAGTTTAATATTTGATTTTGCATGACCAAAGAAGACATAAAGGCCATGACAGTGTATCATTTCCCTCGTCATGACCGTTCAGTGTACTAGGAAAAACAAGGCAGTGCTGCATGCAAGGAAAATGTAACAGCACCTTCTTCTGAGTGGCTGTACTCGCTGCAGGACACTGCCACCTTGTGCTGCTTTCAACGTAAGGCAAACAACACATACATGGCTTTTTCTTTTGATTGAAACATTTGAAATGGAGGCTTTAAATATTTAAAATCTCACAGAATGTATAGGGGAAATAATGTTAAAATAGAATAATAGTATTCATTATATTTCTATTGCCATAAGCAAACTATATCTGTTACTGCTTGTTTAAACATGGGTGACATCTTTGGAATCTCAACAGTTTTAACATCATAAAATACACTACAGGAATTTGCCCATGTATTTAAAAAGTGTTATTTTAATTCAATAATTAAGTATTTATGAGACAGTATGTACATCGTAGAATATGTTTAATCTTCAATTCTGTCTGTATGTGTTACATTAATGCACGTCTTGGGGACTATATTCTTTACACTGCATACTTAATAATTAATTATATTAACCATTGCACATCCTTTTTTGCACATTTCTGTGCAAACAAACGCTTCCAAAACCACACAACTCATTCATTTGAAATCAGATGTATTGTAAATATTTCTTGCAGTGTCTTTTTCTATTTGTTTTATATATCTTTTTCTATTTTCTTTTTCCGGTTCTTGACTATTTATACTTGGTTGAATTATTATAATTTTGTTCTGCTTCTATGTTTATGTTTGACAAAAGCACATTTCTTGTTTGTGGTAATGAACAGATATTAATCCTGATTATTGTAGAAGACACCATAAAATCAAACAAGAAAATGTGTCCTCCACTCAAACAGAACAAATATTTAGCCTTAACTGATTTAAGGTATATTTTGAAACCTGCCACTCAATTGTCTTTAAGAAATAAATATGATGTAAAAAAAAGTGTAAGAAAAAATGTATATCTATAAAAAGAAAAGAAAAAGCTTAGGAACTTGAGTTTTAATTTAATATATTTTTGTCAAAAGCGTTTCTTTTTTGTGAATAAAGAATATTGTATTCATAGTAGAGACAAATTAATATAATATCTCAAAATCAACCTGCCTAATTTGGGTTGCTTGCCTTAAGTTATCTTGTTCAATCATTTACTCTGACAATCTGTCACATATCCCAGGCCCTGGGGGCAGAGATGGGATGCTGTTGCATTTGCTGTCACATGTATGGAACAGCTGAATGCACAGAAGCTCTCTGCTAACTAATCAAGGCAAACCCATAAAGCATTCTGCTTTCTTTGCAGCTATTCCCTGATGCATTGCTTCTTGCTGTTCCCAGTTTCTCATAGTGACACTGTGCTTTATGTGTATTATTGTTATTCAATTTAACTCACCTGGGAACTTCATGCACGAGTGGGAGGGAACTATGTCGGCCTGTCGAGGGAGGAGAGGGGAGGACGGTAAGGAAATGGACGCTCCCTTGGTCAGTCTCCTCAGTTTTACCGGGTCACTGGCATGCTCCTTGACATGTGTGGCACGCCCACGACTACCCTTCTGCAAAGTGCTGTGAGTGTACACCTCACTTGCTATATGGAGAAGATAGGAGTGTGTAGGGAAAATATAAAGGGGGACATATGTTGCAGTGGCTGTACAACAGATGAACATATTGCAGAGAAAGAAGAGCAACATATGCATCGTATAATGCAGCAGAAGAGCAAACCTATCTTGTCTCAGGGGAATATTACTGATTGATGAAATGGAACGATTTTAATGCGAGAACATCTATTTAAAGAAACCAAACCAAACCTAATAAAGAGTCGACGCTGTATTTTTTCATACAATATCTAAATCATTTTCATACTTTGTCCGTCATGGAGCCTCATTATGTCCACTTATAATGGTTATACCATATAACAGTAGTTCACTGTGGAAAAATGATCTCTCTTATGTCTGTTTTTGCCGTTATTACCATGAGAAAAACAAGAACTCTGAACTGTCCACTACTTAATATTAAAATTCCACATGATATGATCTTGCATAATTCCTAAATGTGAAGAAGGACCAGAGCCATGAAACATTTAATGTTACACTTTTAAGAAGAAGCGAGATCTCTGGGCAAATTATCAGAGCCATTCCAATGTACTGTAAACATACTATATCCTTTTTAATGAGACTGACACAGTTCTCTATCTTCCTCTCAGTTCTTCTTGGTACCCAGAGCAGAACATTATCAAATATTAATGGGCAACATGGTTGCTCTAATACTGAGCTCTACTTATGTTTATCTATCTCCACTGCGCAGTCTGATATCTCCTCTGAACTGCAGCAGGTTGACAGATCTCTCTGTGAACACATCCTAGCTCCTGTTAAACAGCTAAATGTTGTTCAGCAAAACTCAGTTCAGTTCACATTTAACTGAGAATACAACTAAACGTTCAGTTTATTTACAACAAATACATCACATTTATATCAAGTACATAGATTTGTTTCAGACATTTGAAGCCTCTCACAAATTGTTGTAAAATTCTGTGTGTTTTTAGTAGGTCAGGATGTTTGCCTAACCCCCACCCCAACTTCTTCTGACACACTTTAAATGCAAGCAGTGGGACACTGTGTTAAGGACAGCACACACTGATGAATTAGGCTAATTGAAATGGCTCTACTTAAACCACCCAAGAGAAGAGAACCTGCATATTGCCATCAAATAATGCAAGACGTTGTGCGTACAACATTAGACAGAGCCCAAATGCGCAATGTTGTCTTTTATTTGTTCTGACATGCTATAGTTTAGTTACAGAGAGTGGTTTCAGTGTGTATGCTCTTACCTGGATGTCTTTGGTTCTTTTTCTCTCCTCGTTTTCCTCCTCCTTCTCTCTTGTTTCCAAACACTGCTCTGAACATAGTACTGCAGCTGCTTCACTGTCTAATGCCTGTGGTAGATTAAACAAAACGTACATTTGAATTAGGATTTCAGGCAACATTACCCTCAATGTTAGCTGTTAATTCAACAGCTGAAGAAGAAACAGATTGAATTGTTGGTTTATGAGATGATTGAACTATTTAGTCTTTAACAATTAGCAATTTATTCGAAGTTAATCACTAGTGAAGATAGGGGTGGTCAAACATAAAAACTGATGACTTGAAAACAAAGCCTTAATTTACCTGCTCTTAAGTCTTCTTTAAAGCTTGCTATCTTCACATAAATCCACAGGAGACTGATGGAGGACCAGTTAAACTCGCGGGATCCAATTAAGCAGTGCTGCACCGTGAACTCACAGTGTTGGAGGAAGAGTCGAGCACGCGCTTCGTGCACGTGCGTTTATGTTCCACATCTGACGTTTCATCGGCAATGATTTAATGTTTTAATTTAATCCGTTTCGTTCTCTTGGCCTAATTTACGTACAGTATGTATTTTTCATAAGTATCTTCATTAGTGTATTATTTACTTAAAACTCTGCTGCTGAAAACACCACAAACAAAAACAACATTAATAATAATAATTATATAATAATATATATTTTTTAAACTAAGATTATCATGAAAGGGTGTAAACCCGACTTTAAAGGAAAGTTTACACAGATGCTGAATTCTGCTTCGTTTCGTTACGAAGGAAAATAACGATGAATTCCCAAATTAAAAAAGCTTTTTCTTTTGTATAATATTCTTAAAACAGCCGTGCTACAACAAGCCTTGTATCAAAATGAATAGCATCCAACAACAAAACACTGTTTCATGGGGGATAGTTCTTTGGACATATCTACTGTACTTTACTGTAAAAATAACATACCAGGGGGCAAAGTCACGCCCATCTACTTCCGGTCCATGGGAGGTAAACCTTCCTGTCCGTCCTCCAGGGGGCGACCCTCACACATCTGGGTAGCCTATTTAATCTGGGGGCTGCAGCTTTCACGGTCTTTCAGCGCCTCACTCACCAGCAGCACGCAGCAAAAATGTCCTCTCCAATATCCATAATGCCAAACAACATGAACCAGTCAATCTTCTGTACCGACGTGGTCTGCTGTAAGTATCTTACGTTTTGCACCTTTATGGGAAAAAAGTGTTAAAGTTTGAGCGTTTTAGCTGTAAAATCTCAGTCTGTGGACACGTGTAAATTAGCTGGTGCCATTTTGTATCTTCTTCCGAATCATGGTCTATCCGTTTCGTATAAAGGAACACGGATACCAGAATTGCAATGGTTAGTTCAACTAATTCAATGTCTTTTTAAACATGGTAAACATACAGGACGCTAACTGAAGTTGGTAGATGGTTTTCGGAAAACATTTCTACCGTCACACAGTTCAGCAGCACCGGAAAGGCCTCGTTGCTACCATGCTGGCTAACTTAAATGCTAACTTTAAATGTGTAGTTTATACTAATTTGAATTGTCCTAATGTCCCGGAAATCGTGGGAATGTTTTCTTCCATATACCAGACAACACCTATGTCTACTGGTTTTGCTTGTTTATTGTACGATGATTTGTTTGCTTTTCTCAGGTCATTTAAAACGGTTGAACAGTTGACAAAATGTGTTTATATAAATAATTGTCGCCGCATCTTTGACAGCCTGGGCTCTCTGTTGTGAGATACCCTGGCTTTTAAGTATTTCAGATGCTAAATTAAATGTCCCTGCACTTTCTCTGCTCGTCTCTTTCCATGGCGTCTCGGATTGAATCAGGGAGGATAAATCATTGTTTCTTTTTTTTTTTTTTTTAAATAATGGGAATGAACCAGTAGCTGCTGATCACCTATTTTTCAGTAAGCTGCAGACACAATACTGTAAGATCTTTTCTCCCTTTTTCAGTCTCAATATTTATGCATACATGACAAGCCATGGCAAAACCACAGTTCTCCTGGATCTCCGAGTTATTAAAGCAGTTGTGGCTCCTAAAGCCTTATATTTAAAGTACAGTGTTAGCCTATTGGATGTCATTAAAAGGAACTTGTGTATGGGCACTACTGTCAAATAACCCCTTTTTCATACTTTTTACTTGCAGATCCTATGCCTTTTGGGGGATCCCTGTGTGAGGTGAATGCAGGATGATGGCTGTGTCAGCTGCTGCAGAATCTCCAGAGATGACTGCTGCTGAAACACCACACTCTGCCAAGCAGTGGAACCACAGGAGTTAATGCATCCTGATAAAGGAGCTCCAACAAGAGGACTGCTGCCCTCGGCATCCAGTCATGTATGTAAAGATGTGTTTACTTTGTGGAGACGCATGCTAAGGCCTAAATGTTTTGGGGATCAAGACTTTTAGCTTTGTCACAAGCCGCATCTTTGACAGCCTGGGCTCTCTGTTGTGAGATACCCTGGGTTTTAAAATTTCAGATGCAAAATTAAATGTCCCTGCGCTTTCTGCTCGCCTCTTTCCATGGTGTCTCGGATTGAATCGGGGAGGATAAATCAAATGTTAAACTTGTTGATATGGTCAATCTATTGGTTCCTATACTAATGACTTATTCTGTTTGAAGCCTCAAGTTAATGTTTTTTTTCTCCCTTTGACAGTCTCCTGGGTTAAGCGTTGGGAGAGGAAACTTGAGAGAAGATGTCCCAGCTGTGATGTTCACTGTTGAGCAGTCTTTGGCCGACAGGTGAGCAGTTATAATATTGTCTTACAGTTAAGGTAGACTTTCATTTGCATCTACTGATAGACCTGAAGCATGCTTCTTTGGCTTCAAGGTTTGCATAGAGGTGCTAAATTGAGCGTTCCTTGTGCTTTTTGACTGCTAAATACAATAGCAGCACAGAATACACGAGGAATACATTTTAACTTTTTGAGGAAAGTCAGATTCACTAGTAAATGTGTAACATGTGACCACTGAAGTCCATTTCCTAACACTCCTGCACATTTTGAAGTGCTTATTCTATAAATGTCCCACATGTATTGATAGAATTTGTATTTAGCAGGCATTTTGTCATATATTTTCTCTAATGACATCTGGAGGGACAACTACTTGTTGCATGATGACTTTAGTTTTCTGGGGTTTTTCTTAATGTTTCATTCTCTTTCAGGTGACAAGCGGCACTGCGAAGGAGATGGCTCATTTTCCTGATGGAAAAACAAATGTGCTTTTTGTTTTTATATATACTTTTTTCATTTTAGTTTGCTGCGTCTGACTGGCAACATTTGACATGCACATGGTAAATCCAGGCAGAATGTATCAGCTGTACATGAAATGTAAAATGGAATCCTGAAAATAAAACTATTCGACTAATCTCCCGAAGCATTTTTTGTTTTAACTTGTTGCACGATGTTAATCAATATAAATAATGCAATATTGGTGTGAAAGGAAAACAAAAAGTCTCAGGAAATATTCCGATATGAAAGAGAACTTTTAACTCTTAAAGGTCACCTATTATGCACAATCAATTCTTCACATCTTTTATACATAAACATGTGTCCCCTCTGTGTAAAGAGATTCGCTCACTTTGTCCTGATATAAAAACCAGTCTGAAAATGAGCTGATCAGATTTTGGCCACTTTGTCATGATGTTTTTGACTTGTGTAACCAACCAAGGTAACCCCCTCCATCTGCTTCTAGCACACAATTGTGTTCTAACCAAATACCTCGCGGAGGGGAGTGGCACCTTATTTTCATCTAAAGTCATGG